GAGGAAAAATGTTGACTTAAAGTCATCATGACAAATAAAGTTCATTCTCTTACCGAGTCTGGACTAAAATGGTTCGAGTTTGCGTTGACTAGATCTACAAAAGGTAAAAATGTCTAAAATGTGGCTAAAAGCAAAACACATTGTTGTCTTAAGACGGAGACTCAATGGAAAGTAGGAACCAAACTAAAACTGTTCTGAGGAGAAAGTCCATGCAGTTGCTTGAATCAACTTCTTAATATCTTCATTAATCTGACCTGTTGGGGAAAAATCTTTTTCTAAAATGCTGCTTCATTGTAAGATGTGGTCTGATAACAAGGTTTGTATTCACTTCTCCTGCACACCTCCAGATGTTAAAGATAAAGTATATAAAGCATTACATAACTCTTTACTGATAAGTGTGTGCAGCAGTGTGTTACATATCATCATCATTAACAATGTAAACAAAGGTCAGATCTGTCCTCTGTCAGCATTAGCATAAAGAAACAGATATTTGTTGTTTAATCTCTGCTCTGTATTCAGTCATACAGCATGTCAGTGTGTGACTGTACCAGTGTGTGTGTGTGTGTGTGTGTGTGTGTGTGTGCAGCTGTGTTGTGATGTCACTCAGCCTGAACTGACATCAGTGAGAAAACAGAGAGGAGCTGATGATGAGGCCCCAGTGCATCATGGGAGTGCAGGGTTAAAGATTTCTATCAGACGGAGGTGTTGGTGGTTTTTCAGAGACAGCTCCGGACCTGCAGGCTAAACTCATCTTTACAGTTCATAATAATGTATTTGTATGTGGTTATGAAACAGACTCAAATGAATGCTGATGTTTCTATAAGACATAATAAAGAGACAATCAGTGAGAAGAATGATTATTTCTATAAAGTTATTCAAAGCTTACAAAAACTCTGCTGCTTTTAAATATATTGTGTGTAAGCATTTTGGTTTCCCTGAGTCAGGAAATGAGAAGGGAGAAGGTGATAGACAAACAACAAACAACAAACAATATGCAGACACTGCAAGACTGCGGTGACCTACACGTTGCGGAATACGAGGTAATATGAGAAGCCACTTGGCAAAACCTCGAAAAGATTCAAGAAGAAGTGAGGGAAAAAAATCCAGCCGGGCTCTAAAGGAAACGTTTGCATAGCCCAGAGGTAGGTAGATAGTATTGTTACAGCAACAACAACAAGCTGATAGGTTTGTATGGCATGGCTGTCGGGTTGGAGAGGGGGGCGGGCCTTCCTGCCTGGTCGTACCGCCAACGTTTTGATTAGCGGTGGCTGTCAGGTGTGCAAGTAGGAAAATGTCACTGTGATCGACTAACTGTGTAGGAGGCTGGACGAGAGACTATTGATTGCTTCCCTGTTTTTCTTTGTAAAAGTTTCTCTTGTTTTATTATCACTACTTCATGGAATAATGCCGAACTGTCATCTGACACGGTGGAGAACGCGTTGCAACCGAGCAGAGAGAGCTGGTCCAGAGAGCGACGCATCGCAGTGTCAAAGCGAGGCTGCGACAGGTATAAGTTCTGTCTCCCTCACTTCAGCTTTGGCAGCTGTGAGACATCTGGAAGCAGACGCCTGGAAGACCTAGACCAGTAAGAAATCCCAGGGTTGAGTTTGCCATGACGGTAACAAAGAAGGTTAGAAAACAAAATGTAATGTTGCACTTCCATCTATGACTTCAGATTCTGATAACGTTTAATGATAGTGTCAATATTGTTTGATATCAATATTGTTCTGATTATTTCATGACAACCCTCCATCATTCATTTACTTACAACGTAATCATAAGCATACTCTTTCTTTTCCTGCTGAGATCAACAGAGGGGAGAAAGCTACTGAAGAGATTTTAAAAAGATTGGCTCTGTGTGCTCCTGGAAGCTGTTTTCACCTCTCACACCTCAGCTGACAGCTCGACTGTTTTTAGATTCACCAAGCAACGCTTCAGCTGATTGTGTCAGTGCAGTGCTCAGCAAACACACACACACACACACACACACTTCTTCATTTGGTCTTCCTGCTCTTCAGCTGCTACCTCAGGAGCTTCAACAGTTAACACATTTAGACTGTTGAGTGTGTTACAGCTGAAATTCTCTTCGGAGACAAAACTTTTCTATGTAATGCTTCACAGTACGAGGGCTCAGTGCGGACTAAATGTCAAAGTGCTGAGGTTAAGAGGACTGGAGAAGGCTCTCACAGTGCACCTGCCTGTCAGAGAGTCATTAATGTGATCACCAGGGACACACACACAGCCCCCTGATATCCCATTAAGGAAGACCATTAATCTGAACAGCCTCTCTCCTACTGGGCCCAACTAGCCAGACTACAAGGAGCCTTAGGGGGCTACACACACACACACACACACACACACACACACACACACACACACACACACACACACACACACACACACACACACACACACACACACACACACACACACACACACACACACACACACACACACACACACACACACACACACACACACACACACACACACACACACACACACACACACACACACACACACACACACACACACACACACACACACGACCTATGAGCTGAGCTGTTATTCTCATCATCTCTCATCACAGAAAGATGAGTAAACTCTTTGAAAATGAAAACTGACATGATGACAGTAACAGAGATGTTGGTGGCAGCTCAGCTCGCAGCTCCTTCCTGCCCGTTGAAAAGTGTGGCAGAAATTAGGGGAGGGGAAAAAACGTCTATTCACAGGTGGATTATTCTATTGGACGATTCTAAGAAATCGATTTAATTATTTCCTGGGATCGATAATCGTGACATCATCATTATCATGTACAGAAAAACCGCGGACGGCAGAGAGCGATCAAAAGAGAAAAATGAAAGCCTTGTTTTTTTCCAAACCTCCTGTTTCAGGTTAGTGAATGTGTTAGCTGTAGCTGCTCAGGTTATCTTCAGTTACTGTGAGCCCACTAGCTTTAGCCGTGGTTACCGTGCCAATACGAAGGTCAATTTATCTTTCTGCAGAGCTGTTCCCAATGAAAAGAGTGAAATCAGCAGCATGTGGGTACTTGGAAGGCAACCACTGCAGCCAGCCGTCTTTAAGTTGAACCTTGAGGATAACTCAGCTCTCAGTTAAACCTTAAAGAGAAACATTAAAGGTGAGCTGTGGTGAGCAGGTGCCCCGCTTTGATCAGGACTGCACAACATTTCCATCACTTGTCCCGCGTCCCGTAAATGTATACAATGTCCCGCAGAAAGCAAGAGAAGGCTATCACCACGGCCTGCAACAGATGTCAATCAATCAGCCCACATCGAGGGTCAAGGGCTCGCCAACTTGTCACCATCCTCGTTGACGATATTTTGCCCCACTGCCACAAAACAAAAACTATATCCGGGGTGCACTTTTTGGCAGAATGTGATGGAAACTACGACAAAGAAAGGAGATACAGATTCAAATAAATATGTGAAAAGATTTACTGTTGTGTGAAGCAAGGAGTGCACGACCACCAGCTAATGGAAACACTGCACTCGAGACTCACAAGAAACGCCTGGCTCATTAAGAGGAATGTCGATCTATGGATACATTCCTCCTGAACCCAAAAGAGGACTGCCCAACAGATAAGGTAACAGCAGCAGAAAATAATTTATGTTCACCACACTGTGCAGCACTCGCAGTCACATGTCAGCAGACTGGAACTCTGCTCATTTTTACAGACTCAGAATTTTCACAAAAGAATTCCTGTGGATGTACAAAAGCAGTGGCCATAGTTACAGATGATCTTCACCTGCCTCTGTGGTAAAAGTGTTGTTGTTGATGTTTCTTAGCTAATGGTTTCCACAGAAGTGTGTGAGTTATTCAGACATTATATTGAAATCTGAACTACCTCTCAGCATTGCGGTCCCATTATCCACATACTCCTTATCCCACTAGTGGTTAGTGCGCACACAACATGTACAGAGGTTAAAGTTCTCAAGGGCGGATGGCCTAGGGTTTGAATCCGACTCGTGGCTTCTTTCCTGCATGTCGTTCCCCAATCTCTTTCTCTCTCTCTCCCCAGTTTCTGAGTCTACTGTCCTTTCTCTGAAATGAAGGCATACAAAGCCCCAAAATAAAACTTAAAAAAAAAAAAAAAAGAATTAAAATGAGTCATTTAATACAATAAATTGTGTTTTGTCTTAAGTGAAGGACATGGACAGGACATTTTTTTATTATTTTACATGAATTGTTTTATGCGCAGTTTTAAGAGCATATTCAATATTTTTCAGAGATGTATATATTTATAGAATTAAAAAAAAACAGGATGTTAAGAAAGGATTAAGAAATTATAAGGAATAAAAGAAGATGGTAAATGCAATATTGTGATGATTAAAACAACAAACTACTTACATGAAAAAGGTGTGTTCTTAACTATTTGAATTCATACAGGTCTGATGAAGGAAACATTTACGTCATGTTGGCACTTTTTTTTTTAATCTGGCCCTGCCTAAAAAGTAATGTAAGGCCTGCAGTAGATTATATCACTTTCCTAACACACTCTCGCCTCTTCTGCTCTACTTGTTCTAATCTCCAGAGAAGTCCCATCAAATCCAACATGTTAATCTTCGAGGATTACAGTCAGTGTCAGAGGAAATTTAACACTGGATTTAAAGTGAACTTCTCACTTTTCTCAGGTTTCAGCCTGATAAACAAACCAGAAACTCCGGCAGAGTACATATCAGCTGAGCGTTTCTCATTGGCTGTCCGCAAGCACAACAGGTGTACTGACAGGTTGACTATTGGCTGACGGACATGCACCTCACAGCGTGGTCAAGACACACACACACACACACACACACACACACACACACACGCACACACACACGCGCGCGCGCGCGCACACACACACACACACACACACACACACACACACACACCACTTCCAAAGCAAAATCATGACACGCAGCGCGGTCACGTTTAGTTATGAAATAAACACATTAATGTGACGTCACACGTGTCACGGATTGTTCGGCTCCACTTACTCCGACATTGTCGCTCTTACTCGGGTAAGAGACCAGCCTTCCTCCGCCTTTCACCGGCATCCTGCTGCTCCTCAGGCGCTGTGGTCGCGGTTAAACGGTTAGATTCTGTCGCTGGTTGTGTGTGTGTGTGTGTGTGTGTCTGTGTGTGTGTGTGTGTGTGTGTGTGTGTGGAGGGGGGCCGTCTGAGAAATGAAACATATCCGTATGACAGCTCTCACAGCTCCGCCCTCCTCCCTGCCCGCCTGCTTCTCATCCGGGTGGACGGGACAGCCTCCCGGAGTCGGAGAGGGAGGTCCGTTCGCCCAGCTCAACTACTGCCTGCTCACTCTCACTCTCACTCTCTCTCTCTCTCTCTCTCTCTCTCTCTCTCTCTCTCTCTCTCTGTCTCTCACACACACACACACACACACACACACACACACACACACACACACACACACACACACAACTGCTGCTGCTGCTGCTACGACACACCGCAATCATACACACTTCCCGTTTCCTGCACTGGAAACTCGTAGGAGGAGAAACACTCAGGAAAGAAACCTGGAAGTCTACACCGACACATGTTACTGTGTGTGTGTGTGTGTGTGTGTGTGTGTGTGTGTGTGTGTTGTTGTTGTTGTGTGTAACTTTTTCTAATATCGCCTATTCAAAAACAACCACAATAACATTCAGCATATGTAAAAAAATGATAATAATAAAATCTGAGTAGATGTCTTTGCTGAAATTTGTGCCTTTGTGTCTAATCCTTGCTTTGTTTCACACAATTTAAAATAACACAGACAAAATAAGAAACTAAAGCATGTTTCATCTCTCCAGCAACCTGGCCAACTTCCATGTTTTGCTGCACCAGGACACCAACCCAAACCCCAAAGACTGAGCTACTGCCTGAAATCTTCCTAAGTTAGTTGTTCACACATGCACTTCACAGCGGGAGACACTGTCACTGTAGGAGGGATAGGGATCATACCTGTCGTGTGCTGGATATAAAAGTCTCCCCCCCTGTCCCACCCGCTCTAAGTGAACTTTTCTGAATATTGTGTTCTCACATCGACTCACGCAGAAAATCTAGTATAGGGGACTGACAGGAAAAAAAATTGTGGTAAAGTATGAGCGAAAAATGTGTGTGTTTACATTCACCCACGCAGCTCATCCAGAGCATTTCTGGAAGTTTTGTGCATTTGTGAATACAGCTTAACTGTTTGAGGCAGCAATAAACCAAGCGCCAAACTCCAGAGCTGAGACATAAATCCAACGCTGAAGTAAAATAACAGTTCCTCTAGTCTCCACTAGAGGCTGTCCACAGCAGTGAGTCAATCCCCATGGAGCATCATGTTAAAATGTTCAACTTTACAGCAGAATTTAAAAAAACTAACAGCCTGGTACATACAGTTTTGGTCTCTATACTCATTTCTTTATTCATGACAGTAGTATGGGCTGAATTTTAATATAACTCACCTGTTTTAAGTTATATAAAGGCTTAAAGTGATGTAGAATTAGGTGGCGTGGCCTCTTTGAGTGACAGGTGGGAGCTGCTGTCTGCTAGGTGTCACCGGAGCTAATTAAGTCACTGAACTTAACCTCTGGGTTTGGGCTGTTGGAGCCTTTTGATTTTTTCATGTGAATATCAGATAAATAATCTTTCTAGCTATGTGCTTTATTGTACTAACAGACTGCTTGACAAGTCTGAGCTCCAGTTTTTACAAGCAGCCACATTATAATATTATTTTATTTAAATGTTAGCAACAATTAGCTGCTAACTGTGTCTCTGAGAAGCTTGGCTTGTAAGCCCGTTCAGTGTTTGCCATACAGGGATTTATCTGTGGCGGCACATTAATTGTGAAAGGTGAGTCAGGATTGTTGTGGCTTTCTTTGCTTTAATTAAATTTACTCTATGATATTTAAACATGCAGGTGTATCATTCAACGCTTGCAGTTCATTTAAAAAAATACATTTAAAAACCTACATAAAATAGTTTTACTAGTTTAAAATCATATTTAAATGTTTTCTTTGGGGTAAATATTTGACTGCTTTGTAAACACGTTGACTTTAATTACAGTAACACACAGTACAAAGTATGAAAAGACTAAAATGGACCAATGGACTCAGCTTACATCTCATTGAGACTTCAACACTACTCGTTCAGTGACGTCATGAGTGAGTAGTAAAACTCATAGATCAATTTGGTGTGCTGAAGTGCGCACTCTGTCAGCACATCAATTGTCTACTGACCTCGAGTTTACAGGGGAAAAAAGAGTGCTCTGTGATGTGTGTGTGATCACGACTATGACTCTGCATGTGTGTGTATATGTGTGTGTGCACGTGCTCTAACATGCTGTTGTGCTTCTGACAGCTTCCCTCTGTTTACTATGAAAACAGTCCCACCAGCTCAGAGACTTCAGCATCTGTGTCAGACACAGAGGAGCAGCGACATCTAGAGGCTGCTGATGGAAATACAACAAACATGAAGAAAGTGAAAGGAGGGAGAGGATTACAATTCAGTAATTTAAATAGATTTGAGAGACTTAGTTTCTTAATTTTTCACCCGAAACAGCTGTTACTTCACTCTCTGCAACGCCACCAGACTCCCATTGACAAAAACACTTATTCTATTCAGCCATGTGAGTCTGCTGCCTACTGGCCTATGGTGTGAATCCAGGTATTTTAAGGTGGTTAGCATAGCTGTAACAGAATATCAGTGTACAATGTAGCCTACTTTAACAAACAAATTAACAAAACAATCCCTAAAGATCAAGGAAGCAATAAACCAGCAGCTTCCATGTTCTGTGAGGTAAAATTACAGGTTTGGTCAAAAGAGTCTGGTAGCTTTGAAGGGAGCCACAAAACAGCTGTAAAATGGCATATTTAGACTGTAATGCTAAAATGAAGATTTTTTTTAAATCTTGGCTATTTTTTGCCTACTTTGGTTTGGTATCCTTTTTTCAATTATAAACCCGCCTTTTATTTTATACTTTGACTTACTTTAAATGAAGGACACAAGAAACAAACAAAAAAAAACATCATAAGGTGCGCCGGATGGCCTATCTCACGCGCCCCATACAGAGGCTATAGTCCTCATCGCAGCAGCCATTTGAATCCCACCTGGGCTCTTTGCTGCATGTCATCCCCCTCTCTCTTCTCCCAACATTTCCTGTCTCTCTTCGGCTGTCCTATCCAATTAAGGCAAAAGATCCCAGTATAATATATTTTAAAAACAAAACATCATACAATCAGATTTGTCTTAAAATATATTTATTATAAGAAACCCAAATATTCTCAATGAAGCATTTTTAATTAAGTGATGGAAAGAAAAACAATCCTCCGAGCCCAACTTAATAATATGCACCCTTTAGTGATGCAAAGAGGTAGATTTTAAACAGGCATCAGTCAAGTCACCTACAGAGTGAAATGATTGGGAAATGCAGGTAGATTTGGGAGGAAAAGTTGTTTTTCTCAGGACAAAGTTTGCACTAACCTGAGGCCTGACAGAGTGTTGTGGTCTGTGAGTCAGCAGATGGTTATTTTATAGAACTGACTGTCCCCTGGGGACTCTGTGGAGGAATGAAAGGAAAAAGCTAAGATATCCAGATATGAGGGCAGAAGCTGTACATCAACAATTGAAGGTTAGGGTTTGTCCAGTGGGGGCAGACTTGGAGTCTACAGCCTGACCCTGTAGGGGGTATGCTCGCGCCTAAACCACAGGCTTCTCACCCTGGATCTGCCTTCCCTGTTTCCTCTTTCTAACATCTCTGTGTACAGACCATCCTTTCTCTTTTCACGTGTGGTGGGCGGAGATAGCTGGGATGGAGGAAGGTGGCACCTGGACACCAGAGCTAACTGTCCAGCCTTCCTGACATGAAACACCTGTGAAGGGAGGTTCCAACTTGACAACCCAGCTGATGTCCTGGCTCTTGCTACCCATTGGTCTACACGGTTGAGTTGTGGGGGCCAGAAGGGGCCATGTGGTAGGGTAGGTATTTATCAGCATTGTCATTACCTCACATAAACAGAGCCTAGGTCATCTAAAGGTGTCTTTGATGCGGTGGCCACTAAGGGCAATGAGGTTGTGTAATTTATCAGTAGGGCATAGGGGCTTAATGGGGATGATGGGTTTCCTCTCGAGCGCTTATCCTTTCATTAGGGCACACGTTTCTTGTGTTTATTTCAAATTTGTTTTTTTTTATTCATTTTTTAAACAATTATTCCACAAAAACAGGAGTTACATGATGCTTATCATCCAATGATGTCCGACTGTAAGATAGTGATGTGAGGCTGTGACCTAAAACCTCCCTGCATCAGCCTGTTTAGAGCTCTTCATATATTAATATCAGAAGTGTATAGGAGCAGTATATTGTGCTGCGTGTCGAATTCAAAACTACAATTCAAAAAGTAACTCAAACTGTAAACCTTCAGAGATTTATAGTGATCAGGTTAATCAATTTAATTGAGAATCAAGAGAAGGTTCACTGTGTCATGCCTGCAAATAAGGTGCTTTATAGAAATAGATTTACTGCAGGGAAGAATATGAATCAGTCCTGGGACCAGTCTCTGAAATCCAATCATAATGCAACCTAACAACACATCGATCAATAAACTGCTTTTGTATTCCTGCTGACATTTTATTTCGCTGTTTTCGTCCCTGAAGTGTCTGTGAGCGAAAGCACTCAATCTCTCAATGAATATATGCATCATACCGAAACTAAACCTCTGGAGAAAACTTCATCACAACGAGAAGACTGAAGCTCCTTAATGTAATATTTTATACAAAAAGTTAACTAATGACTGTATGTCATGTTAAAGTTTTAAATGCTGGACCCACTCAATGAAAGAAACACAGATTTTATATTTCAGACACTTCTGGTGGGTGCTTTTATTTTCAGCTCGGTTACCTTTATCTGTATCCAGGTGCTCTTGTTGTAGTTTTTCCTCTTTTAAGCTGCTCAGACACACAGCAGGGTCACTCTTCATTGAAAGTCATGTGTTTATTTAAACGTGAAAAACATGAAATACTGCCCGTCGGGTTTGGCATTCACAGTGCTGAGAGGGAAGTTTGATGTGCAAAACTTTTTTAAATGTTACACTTGGGGGCAGTGTAATATGTTTGTATAGTGTGTTAAATGTTATGTCAGATCAACATAATCAGTACTTTTCAGTCTTTTTTCTGTTTATCTGATGTGTTGAAGTCCAATTTTTTGATCTCATTTTGTTTTGGTCTCATATGAATAAAAAATCAGACAGGAGCCAGTTAACAAAAACAGAGTTGCAGATTAGAAAAACTAGGGGCTTCAGTAGCCCAATGGTTAGGGTGTGTGCACCCCATGTACAGAT